TATATGAAAACCACCAAGGGAATTCACCAAGAGTTTCTTCTCTGAACTCTCAGTGAACATTGTATTGGATTGCTCTGATGGTGAACTATCAGAGAGCACAAAGATTTGGCCACTCTTCTGCATAATGCCACCTCTCAGTTTGACACAGCTGGGCCTAGGCTTGCTCTCTTATGTGACAGATGCTACTTCTTGCTTCCTTTTATTCTTTCCAGATTTTCAATGACATAGTAGTGTTGCCGGATTTAGCAAAGTAAAATATAGCATGTCCAGTTAAAATTGAATTTCAGATAAACAATTTTTAATATAAATGTATCCCAAGTATTGCACAGGGCATACTTATACTAATGAATAATTCATTGATTATCTGAAATTCAAATTAACTAGGCATCTTGTATTTTATCTGGCAACCTTATGAAATAGACAAGTCAAAATCTTCTGAGGAGGCTGTAGATAACTTTGGGGATCTCAAGTTTCCAGGTCTGAAGGCAAAATGAAAAAGTAGGATAAAGAGAAAGAAAATATTTCTGTACCACAAATAAGAATATTTAGGATTACTTTTAACTTGCTGGAAGCTAGACATGAGTGTCTGTGGTGTATTTGTGTTAGATTTAGTAAGTACTCTGGGGATTCTAGGGGAGACAGGGTATGTGAAGTTGAATAGGTTGAAGGCATTTTTTGATTAGGGTTGTGTGTTTAACAGGGAATACTGTACCTATTGCCACATTAATGCTCTATACCAACCAATGATGAAATCTCAGTGTTGTAGGAAGGGTGTGGGCCTGTGGCTAAGTTGATCTTGGATGGTCTGGCTCCTATATGGGGGTTTGGCTACTGAATGACCTAGGTTGGCTTCAGTTGTGAGTCCTGCTTCCTGTTGAACCACTCAACTACCCCAGAGATGTCTTTCTCAGTGCAACATTTCATGTATGTTGAAAACAAGCAGAAACATGCAAACCGTTGAGACCTAATCTCAGAATCTGTACAGTGTCATTTTCATCTCATTCTAAAACCAGCTTCTCTATGTGGGAGGAAATAAGCATTACCTCTTTAAAGAGAGAAATGCAAAGTCCCAGGGCAAAGTGTGTGGATGGATGAATAAGAGAGAATTTGGCATATCACTTAATCTATCACAAGGGGTATGCAGGAATGTAAGTATAAATTGGGGTGTAATTGCTTGTTTTGTAAATTTGTTTGCACATGGAGTACCTTTTCTTCTCTATGTACTGGATTTTAAAAAGAATTTTTCTAGTTTGTGCAGTAGCAATACCAACATTCCTATAAAAATTAGCAAAATGTTCTACAATTCCTAAAATGCTATCAGAAAAATTCCTTTGAGTGAGTGCATGGTGGCACTTTTTCTTGCATTAAGCAAAATACATCCAAATGAAGAGTCTGTGATATTAAGGATGGAGATTTGCAGAAGAGTTGGTAGCACTGAGAGAAAAGGAAGATTGAAGATCCAGAACAAGCAGGTTACTGTTTTGGTGTCCTTTGAAATCTAGCACCATTTTCTTCACCATCATTTGCTAAGTTTAGTCATTAGAAAGAGCAAACTGGAAATCAGACGTGGGATTCTGAGACTTGCCTGGTTGTGTAGTCTTTTTAAACCCACAATATCTTTGGGCAATTTTTTTGTTCCAAATGTGGATTGAATAAAAATCCTGTGTAAACTCTAAAACCCTAAATAAATGAGTAACTTTTACACCAAAGATAATCTCGAAGAAACCATTTTAACTATGGATCTTCATTGTGTCCTCTACTTGTAAGTTCCCTTTTATTGAAATTAATGGTAAAAAGATGGGTTTGGTTCTTAGGTCTATTTATCCTACCAATTGTGGGTAGAAAATGAACTGGCATTAGACAATTTTATGAGTTAGGACTCTTAGTTTCAGATACAATCAACTTTAAGACTCAGGAAAAAGACTGGTCTCATTTTGGGGACTTGGATTGAGGAGCAGAGCGAGGCTTCTCCTGCCAATGCCTGGTGGCCCAGGCCTGATCTAGCAGTACACCTTAGGTGAAATGTGAGGGAAGATCACTCCTCAGAACAATTCCTGTTCACTAACAGTATTAAAAATAAGTACATTTTAAAAGGGAATTGCATGTGAAACAATTTCTTGCAACCACCCCTATAACATAGGTATGTTAACTCAATTTTGCAGAGAAAATAATTTGCCCAAGAATCCCAGGATTTACAAGTGGCAGACCAGAGATTTAAACTCAAGATCTTGACTTCAGCAAGTACTGTGTAGTGCTGTAAGAAAAATAACAGGAGAATTGCTAACTAAAATATGACAGATCTGTGGGTGCAAAATCTTTCAGAACCTTGTTGGAATAAAAGGCAAGTTGCTAGAATATCAGTACATGACTCTATGTCAAGAAAACACACAAATGCAAATGTTTGTCCCAAACAAACCTGTGGACATATATTGGATATAAATGCATCTATCTAGGGATTCATATCAAAATATTAACAGCCATAATCATCAGAGAGGGATGTGAGATGCTGGGGACAAAAAAAAAAGGGGGGGGTGTTTCATACTTTATTACATATAAAATATAAACTGTAATTTTAAACTATTCTAAATAATCTCATTGAGGGAGGAAAGGCAAAAAACAATGTCTAGATGCCAAAAATTAAATATGAAACTCAAAAGTTTGATTCTGGACCATTCCCGTTTCTCACTTTTACTGTGACATAAGGAAATGATAGGTGAAAACTGTTCTCAAACTTCTCAAATGAGATGGTAACATCTTCTAAAATGGTGTAGACAGGGAAACTTTTTAGATCATGTGTGTATTAATGACTCATATCCTCCCAAGTCCCACGTGACCTTTAAAACATTAACTGCTTCCAGAATATATAAAACCTAAAGTTGAAACACTTGTTTTCACAGTTTATAAAATAAAATACAATTGATACCTCCTGTAAATCTCAACTTCATCTTCCTTTGTTGGTTCCTAAAGTAACCACTAGCAAATAAATGTGTGCATATTTTATTTTTTTCTATCTACACAGCCACAATATCATTTAGCATATTTTATGCTTTATATAATTGGTATCATAAAACACACCTTTTCTCAGTTACTTTTAACCATCTTTGCAGATCCATGACTCTAGCTTGTTCGCTCTGACTGTTGCACAGAAGCCTCTCATGTGAGTGTTCCCAGTGTTGAACACTCATTAGGATCACCTTCTGTTGTATACAGGCTGCCATGAGTGTTTTTGCAGATGTGTCCTTACACACACTCACAAGCACTTTTCTGAGGTGACAAGGGAACTTAGTTTACTAGATACAGTAAACTGATTATTGTGCCAGTGTCTCTCCACCAACAGTAAGAGTTCCCACTGCTTCATGTAGTTAACACTTGATATTTTGAAACTTGCATTTTTTTTTTTTTTGCTAATTTGATGTAGTAACTTGCCTTTTAGTTACTATTTCTCCAACATCAATGAAGAATATTTTTTGTATTGGTTTATCAGCCTTTTAGATTTTCTCTGCATTTTTGTTTCATAAAATAACCCTTTATTTTGAAAATATCTTTTGGCTTTTTGACTTTTTATGTGGTGCTGAGAATCGAACCCAGTGCCTCAAGCATGCCAGGTGAGCGCGCTACCATTTGAGCCACATCCCCTGCCCCTCGTGTCTTTCTTTAATGGCTATACCTTTTCATTTTATCTCAATATTTTTCTTCACATGCTCAGGTCAAGTGAATATGTTCTTTTTAAGTTTTAAAATATGACTTTTAAAAGATAAATCTTTAACTCAAACATATGATTATTTGAAGTAGGGATCCAATTTTTTCCCCAAGCAAATAACCAATTAAACACAATTTTTCAAAAATTAACTCATTTATCAGGAGTGATGCTAAGCATTTTATGTGCTCAGTCCCCGGTTTTACAGTAAGAATGTCAGGGCTTAAATGTGTACTCAGGAGCCCCAATAAATGGTAGACCATATAGTAATTGTTTGTTTATTGGCCAACAGAGATGTGTTTCATCAGGTGAGGCACATAAATATGCTGATTGGCACAAATTACATTTTTAACAAAAGGCACCCCCAATATATAACCTGCTTTTATTAAATAGGAAAAAAAATCAATACATTTTAAAGAGTCATATATCCCAACAGCTTTTGTGAAAACCAACAAAATGTCAGCTTGTTTGAACAAAGCTTTTAGAATGAGCAATTCTTCAAGCAGGGAAAAGACACCAATAGGCTCTATTCCCCAGGCTCTGTTTTGCTTTACCATTTTAGTATTCATGTAAATATATATTATTATTTAGAATATTAGCATCTGAACTAAATAATGACCCATTTTAATTAAAACCAGGATGTTTGGAACTTCCAAATAGTCTGAAGTTTTCCAATATGGACATAAACTAGCTCCTATTCCTCTTTCTATATTAAATGTGTCACAATATAACATTTTCACAGGAAGATGTTTAAGGCTCTGGCACATAAAATATGTAATTTGTGTGATAAATTATATACAGAAAATATTTAAAATTCTCCTGTGCAACTTGAGCTCTAAACATTCAAAAACAAAAAGTGTTCCAGGTTAATAAAATTTTAAAATATATTTCCTCTAAATTTGACACTGATTTGTAATTACATAAAATACATATGTCTTGCATAATGTGATTCCTCAAATGAAAATAATTGAACAGAATATATTTGATACCACTAGTTTTCTAGATCATCCTTTCTGCACAAAAATAGTCTTTCATATAACTTATAAATGTTTCCATTTCAACTAACACTGACACAGCAAATATCAGATCTGTTTTCTTATTCATGTGTCACACAAATATGTCTATAAATCTTAATTTATATTTGTCTCAGTAGACAAAAGCAATAAAGAATGTCAGTAAGAGATATCAATAAAGGGTGCTTATTTCTCATTTGAAAAACAAAATGAAAGTCATTTAAACCTTGTTTGAAAGTTCTAAAGCAGCATATTTAGCTCTTAAAAAAAAAAGACCAAAACAATAATTATAAATTATAAATTCTAATAATTCTTCTTTTGGCATGAAAAGCCAGAGCACAAATTCTTACACTTTAATAGGTAATATATTAGTGTACATCTGAATATACATTTGCCAACATTCTCCGTTGGTAGGAAGCTGGTCTGTGAAGTGGAAGCAGTGAAGTTCACTGTGGCGGGGCCACACTTAATGGCCATCCTGGGCATCAGAGGACATGGAATGGCTGAGTCCCGACCTCCCATTCACAGATATCGTATTTGGTGGAACAGTAACCTAAGAGGAAGAAACACACTTTGCACGCATCAATTTAAAATGGGACAGCTGTCAAATTTTCAACAATTAGCACATTTTAACTTCTTTTTAATTGAAAGTGTTAACATTCAGCATTTATTATTTCAATAAATTACAAATAACCAAGGATAAATGTTCACTCTACCATGAAATGAAAAACCAGAGAGTTGTTATTTCCACAACAAACAAGTTAAATAATCCATTAACACATCTTCGGCTTTATAAAATTACCAAATCAACATAAAGGACAAGAGCACAAACAGACTGCAGGCCAAGCTGTTAAAGAGCATTTTTAGCTAGATTAATTCTGGCTCCCCAAGAGTGCTTTGGAAAATGCAACCAAGGAAAGTAAATTTCACAAAGGAATGATTTTACAATTTTTATATTGATAACATGTATTATCTTGATGTTTCATTCTCAGTGACCTCTTATTTATTAAAAACAACAATAAATGGTTTTAAAAAGAACTTTTTCATCTGTAGGGCTAAGAAAGGTCAAATCTATGACTCTTATGCCACAACAATTGTGGAGGTTTTGGGATTTCTTTTTAGTAAATAAACTCCTAAGTTTTGGAATTCTTTTGAAAGTCTATTTGCAAACTGTTAGTGAATAAAAACACTAAAGAATTTTCTAAATAGCTCAAAATTACAACTTAAAAGAATGTAAGGAAAAAATCATGTGGATCCTGAATAGTGGAACTATTTTGAACATAAAATGAAAATGTTTTTAAAAACCAGTTTATCTAGACTATAATTTGGCTAATTTGGCTTCATAACCAAATGCTATCATTTCCTCATAAGACAAGAATTGAAGTAACAATGCCTGCAGATTCGACCAACAAAGTAAGCTGGTGAAAAGGAAAAGAAAATTTGTAAATTTAGTTTGGATTTGGTTTCCTTGTATTTCATTTCTTCCTTTTACTAAACAAAGATTAAGTAACTTTCAGTAATGAAATTTCTTGTCAGCCTTGAAAATCCAAGATGGAGCCGAGTCGTTGATACTACCTGCCTGGGGCGGGGAGGAGGGGGTGGAGAAGAAGAAATGCTGCTGCCAGGGGAGGGAACTCATCTGCACCCTCTTCAGTGTTCAAATGGGATTCCTCTCCAAGTACAGACAACAGACAAGTAATGACATTTTACTGTGTAACCTTGGCCCCAAAGTCTCCATGTGTAGAATTAGTTTTTGTAATTCATGCCAAAATTAGAGTCCTCATAGTTCTTTGTAAGAAAAAAAAAATTGTCTCATGTACTTAAAAAGACATACTGATGGAGCTAAATTCTTAGAAGTAAAACATGCTCACTGCAGCACCATGTATAAATCCAATTTAATGGTTATCAATAAGTAGCAAATAGGTTCTGTTATACTCATAAAGGTTAATATTATGTAGGCTTAAAAACAATAGGATAGATCTATATGTAATAAGATGGGAAGCTTCAAAAAGATCGTCTTATGAAATATTCCATTTTGGTAAGCTAAATATGTTTATATATTATAAAAGTGGCCTGGAAGGTTAGCAATCTATCAAGAGTGGTTACTTGTGAAAGAAAAGAGCCATTTGCTTTGATGTTTAAATTTTTGTTTACTAAACTTTTAAATATGAGAGAACATCCTTAAAGAACTATTCTATAAATTCTAGGAGGCAAAGATCTTATCTATTTGGTTACCATATTATATCAATTTTTCAAGCGCCTGGCACAGTGTAGGACTTAGTAAGTATTTCTTACTGTAGAGAGAGCTATCAACCTGAAATCTTTTGTTCAAATCAAACCAAGGAAACAAACAAAAAACAGGCCAGTTAAATAAACAAAACATGCCAGTCAGATTCTGGGTGACTTCCCCAGTTTTTTACCGCCCCGCCCCCACCCCAGGCCTCTACCTATCCAAAGTTAAAATTTTCAATCTGAGGAAATATTTATTATCAAGGGTAAAACATTATTCATCAGTTTATTTTCAAACTTTATTTTTACAAAGCTATATTCTCTTTGTAACAGTATAACGACCTGCTTTTTAGTCAATTAGGCACCCTACAGTATAAAAAGCATCCAAAGAAGTTCTTGTGTCAATACAGGCCAACATTAATCTTATTCTCTGTAAATAACTTTATAGTTGATATATAAATCTCAACATGAAACCCAATTTGTGAACTACTGAACTAGATTAATGCTTTGTATGAAAACAGGACTGATCTCTGTGATTACATGGTTGAATGGAGACAAGGTGTGGAAAAACCCTCCAAAATGTGAAAAAAAACATGGCATGTTAACAATCCCATTTACACTACAACAATCAACTAACTAATTGTTCTAATGTGAACCAACCATTCACAGGTTAATTATTCAGGTAAGAAAGAGAGCCATAAAGCAGGTTGATACCTGGAGTTAAATTGAACATTTGGGTGCCAAAATAGAGGCAAGCACAGAGCCAACTTTCTGATGAGCGATCTAAACCTACTGTCAAAAATCACTGGAGATTTTATTTGGCAATATCATTGTTGTTATAATTTTAAATGTCAGAATTTAAAAGAAACTAGGAGAAATCTTCATTACATGACAAAAACATGGAACTAAAGCAAGTATTACAAGAAATGAAGAGCCTGTGTCCATTTTCACTACCTTTTGCAATTTTTTGAAATACAAGTCAGAAAAGTGCTGTGAAGGTAGACATACAGTCCAATGAAAGCAAATGAGAACAACTTACCAACACAGGTCAAAAGAAAGAACACTGCCAGCCCCCTACTGATCTGACTTTAAAAATGGGATATCTTATCATGTATTTTTGCATTAATTTGTATTTCATATATATTGCATCAAGTAGTATTTATCTTGATAGTTTTTAGGTTCCCCATTATATTGAATGCCTATTCTATAAGCCCTTAACAACTCCTCCTCTTTTCCTCTTGAGGAACCATAGCCATGATTTTTATAATTACTACTTTGCTTTAATTTTTTTAAAATTACTTATTTATTTTTGGTGCTGCCGATTGAATGTAGGGTCTTGCTCATGGCAAGCATGTTCTCTACCACCAAGATACATCCCAAGCCCCACTTCATTTCTAAAGAGGACCACACCTATGCATGCATCACCAATATACAAGTTTTTAATACTGCTAAATATCTCATGGATAAATTTGTGTGTGTGCTCCTCTTATAATGTCATGTTTGGCTCTATTTCATTCATTGTATTGCTATATGATCATATAAGCTTTGAATGCACTGTTATATTTTCTATTATCTTTGGATATTAGAGTTATACTTATTTAGAGCTACTGCATATGACACTACATGAACACACTTATATGTAAGTCCTGGCACACAAAAACACAATTTTCAGAATTATATGACTAAAAATAAAAATGCTGGTCGTCAATTTTGCATATTGAAAACAGTATTAGATCTTATGACCATTTTTTTTGTGAAATAAAATGGGTTAATGTATGAAATATTCACTGAAAAAGATTTAGGAGATCCCACTCTACAGACAGAGCTATCAATAACCTCCTAGTCCAAGAGATGAAATTTTAAACTCAATAGAATCTGAAATAATGAGTTTTAAATAGGATACAATTATAGGATCATCATTTCAGCCTCCTTTCTGTGTTGATCCACATCCAGCTCATTCTGGAAGTAATGAGAGTTTTCTGTGTGAAAGCACTGCCAACTCAGGGCCAGTAACACACCAAATACACAGCTGCCTGCTGTACGATTCTGTTGGCTTAAAAGGCATTTCCAACTTAATGCACAGTATTTGCAGTTAGTTCAATGGAATTGATTAATGTATTCACCAACTAAGTTCAGTGGCACTGCAGTCAATTTCTGTGTGGTTACTGGTTCTCCTGGGGGCTGATGTGACACTGTTTTTCAGGCCTAGGCTGTGAACGTGCAGAAGATAGAGGCTTCATTTTATTCATTTTTGCATTCCCAGTATCTAGTAAAATATTTGGTACTTGGAACTTATGTGTTTGAAATTGCTTGTCAGATTTATTGAATTGAGAAAACTATAGCTGCACAGTGACTGGTTTGAAACTCATCTTTAATTTACCAGATGAGAAATAGAAAATTTTTCAAAAATAAGACTGTACAGTTTATTAACATGAGCATATTTCCCCCTTTAAATGTAAATTTGTCATGATCTGTGAAATGCCAATTTCAATATTTAAAGCTATACCAAATTTTTATGCTGCTTGGCACCTAAATGCAGCTCCCCACCTGCCAAAAAAAAAAAAAAAAAAAAAAAAAAAAAAACCAATAAAAAAAAAAAACACCCTCCCCCCTGAATTTTTTGTTTCCTTCCCTCTTGAAAGCACTGTTTCCATGTTTACCCAGATCTGAGCACCGTGT